TTACCAGGTGCCTTCTTTAACACTGTCATTCTGCTCCACCTGCCGGGTTTCTCATTTAATTTATGAGCAGATAATAGGATGTCCATGTTTCTCTTCTCTCCTTCTTCCTCATTATGCCACCAGATGTATTTTTGTACCAGCTACAGTTAGAACCTAAGGATTATATCCACAGCAGAAGCCTGGATGAAACAAACCTCTGGTGCCCCTTATGACGCTGTTGGGCTGAACCTTGCTGATCCTGCAGTTACCGGTTCCCAGGAAAAAGGCCGGTTTAGGGCCTGGGACTCATCTCTGTGCCTCACATCTCTACGATATTTACCAGACACCTTGTCAAAGCTGATGATCCGGTTCATGAGCACAGTGGAGAGAATGATCTCATCAAAGACAGGAACGCTGCCCCCAACAAGGCCTGTGTTTCCCCCCTGTGGGTTCACTGCCAGGTTCCTCTCATAGCAGTACCTGGAAGGAAAAAGGTTTCTGGTCTTATGCATTTTAAGGCCATAATCCAGTCTATCAGAAGAGTTTCACCTCCACATGAATGTCCCCTGTTGCAACAGTGCTCAACGCTCCTTAAAATTAAGCTGCATTTAGTCTAAAGATTAAATTGATACAAAGGGATGGTTTCACTGCAGAAGTGAGAGAGGACAATTTCTGACTAAGCTCACCCCAGCACTGAGAAAAGGAAGGAACACCCAGGGTTACCCCTGTGTATATCTACAGATCTGCCATGCAACATCTGCCTGAAAAATCACTGCTCACTGTTTCCACATAAGCTATTTATGTAGCATTTTCTCTTAACAACTTGGCTTCCTCAGTGGGCTCTGACAGACAACCTCTAGCACCAGTTTAAGACATAACTGCCCTCCTCCTCCCCTCAAGAAATTAATGCCCCGTAGGCAACGAAACACTTGCATCTATGCCTCAGCTGCTTCACCTTCCAGCCTGCCACACCCGTCACATCCTCTCCAAACTCACAGAAGTTCTTGCACAACAGATGGCACAAAGCCACACCGCACCAGCAGTTACTTCAGAAGCCCTGACTCTACTCTGCTCTAGATATCTATTTTAACAGAGCTAGGAGCAGGTTCATGCAGCTTTCAGCTCCTCAGCCAAAGAAGGTGCAGTCGATCCTACATACTGATGCCCAACTGGAGCTGCCCTCACACTAGTGAGCCACAGAAGTGTTCTTACTTATTTAGTGGACAAAATATTAGCTCCTCAAACTGCCCGATTCTGGCCTGGCCTTCTTTTCAGACAGACCTTCCTGAATCCTTCAACACAACTGCTCCTCTTGAGCACTGGTACAGCATCTAATTTTGACAATTTAGTAGAGCAGAAAAGTCATCAATACTGAATCCACTTCCTTATCTCTCCCTGCCTCCATTTCTTTCCTCCACATTAAGTACTTTTAAGATCCTTCCACTGAAAGCCATCAACAGTGATTTGAGAAGTCTGCTGCTGCCCACTTAGCCTTTGCAAGTACATCTGGCCAGGAAAGATTAATTTTATTTTGTAAAACAAATGGAAGTTTGGCCTTTCTTTCTGCCTGATACTGACACAACACCATCACCCCAGAAAAGCCATGGGCCAGGGAGAGCACTGGGCCTGGGAAATACAAGGCACTGGTGGAAGTCCCTTTCTGCCTTGAAAAATTTCAGCTCCCCAAGTGAAAACATTCCTAATTAGGAACCTGTAGGTTTTTTAGATGAGTGACACTGCCTATCCACCTGTACAGGTACAACCCCAGACTAGCAACAGCATGCAGAGTCTCCCATCCTGAGAGCAGGTGGAACAAAAGGTACGTCAGGGAACAGTGGGCAGCCCAAGGGCAGTGGGGACATAAAGAGCAGGAGGGAGAGCTTAAGTCATCAGAGCTCAACCACAAGACACACAGTCAAAACAGCTTCAGCAATTCCAGTGCTTGAGCAGGTAGTGTCTGAACACCTAGAAGTTCCCTTCACCTGCCAGATCCTCCCTGACTAAACCCAAGTTTCGTGACCACAAAGCCCAGCAGAAAAGGTGCACGTTACCTGAGAACCTGAGACACCTCTGCTGTTGTCTGTGGCTTCAACATCAGCTTGCTACTGCCTGCAATGAAAGCAAGGGACTCTCAAGGCAAGTTGTGGGCTCTACAGAGGCCAGAAAGAAAAAGGTGGTAAAGCGTGATGTCCAAAATAACAACGCTTCCTCCACTGTGAGGCAGAGGCATTTTAACCACTTTTAAAACAAGCATTTTTTCCATAGTTGGTTTTCCCTTAAAGCACCGTATAAACTTTGCATCTAATACATAGACTTGGTTGCTAGTGGGGAAAATGGGAAAGGTTTTATATTCTCATGAAAACTTTGACAAAACCAGAAAATTCACACCACTTGTTTCATCAGGTTCAGCCAAAACTGCTAACCGAATCAATTTGTTTCAGGAAAAAGGTAATTATTAATTAACCAGGCTTATTTTTTTTTAAGTGAAAGTCTGAAAGATTATTAGGTAATTCTCAAAGAAATACATACTCTGAGGAAAACTAATGTTGGTCTGTAAAGACACGGTCTGCTATAAATAAAGGTGAGATTTTCCTTGGCAGACTTTTCATTCTGGTATGTTAGCAGAGGCAGCGAGCAGGTTTTACCAAAATCAGAAAGCAGACAAGTTCACATACCTCGGACTGATTTAAGCCAGTCCACATTAAACGGTTTCAATTCCTCCGGATTTGTGATGACTCTACCTGGCATTATGCTCTCAAAGAAAGCCACATCACTATCAGCCAGGCAGGAGAAGGGCAGCCGCTGCACTCCGTACCGCTCGCTAGTCAGCATCACCTCCTGCAAGCTGGAGGAGGCTGCGTGGAGCCCTCTCCCGCCCCACGGCCTCACCCCCCACGCCCTAGAAACCACACTCGTGGGCAGCTTCCTCTGCCGAAGCGTCCCCGGGGCAGGAACCGCGCTCTGCTGCGGCCGGACCCCGCTGCGGCAGCCCGTCAGCCATCTTAGCCGGGCCCAGCGGCCCCACACGGAGCAGCGGGGCGCGGCGGAGGAAATCCTCATCGTCACCCTGAAAAAGCAGAGGCCTGGCTCATCCGCGAGCTCCCCTCAGGTTCTGGGGGTTTCCGCCCAGCTTAGGCGCCCCCTCCCAGCCTGCGAGGGGATGGGGACAGGCGCCTGTCAAGGGGACAAACAACCACCCGGCCAGGCGATACCCCGGGGAGGGAGGGGATGGATACCCATCGCGTAGCGCCTCAGACCAACCGCCCGCCAAACCGCAGCCGGGCCGCGGCTGCCTCACGCACCCCTCGGGGCTCAGGGAGCGGGGGGGGGAAAGGGCAAGCCCGGCCCGCCTGCCCCCGCTTCTCGGCCTGGCAGCTTCAGGGCTGGGCGGGCGATGGCCCCCCCCCCCCACAGCGGGCGCGCAGGGCGCATGCGCTCAGCGCAGAGCGGGCGGCAGCGCCCCCCCTGGCGGCGGGAGGCCGCCGCCGCTCCCTGAGCGCGGGCGCCCCCCCCCCCCCCCCCCCCCCCCACCTCCGCGCCGGGATGGCGCCCACGCCACGCCGCCCCCCGTGTCCCCTCAGCCACGCCACCTCCCGCCCAACACGGCCCCACGCAGGGCGCACCCACGGGCACGGCCTGCTGCCCAGCGCAACCTGCTCCGCCGCTGCAGCACAGCTGGAGCGCGGGGCACTCACCTCCCCCCGTGCCTCCACAACACTCGCGTACCTTTTTGTTCCCAAAAATACTTTATTTATAACAATATATCCATTATCTATAGCATGATCCAAAAATACAGATTTACATTTTTACTTTACATTCCTTTTTTTTTCTTTTTTTTTGTAATAAAAAGACTTAGATTCTCTTCCATTTACAAAGGGAACAAAGATTTAATTCCTTTAAAAAATAAAACAACGGGGCTAAACTCATTTCACCTCCAGTTTGGACACACGGCAATAAAGCTGAACCCCGCAGGGTGTTCAGGTGTTGCAACAATCTTTAGTGGAACATTCCTTTACAAGTATCACAGTCTTGTTCACCCTTCTCCAGAAAAGTATATTTAACACTGTACATTCAAAATTCAGGAGAAAGATTTAAATCCTTTCTTAAGCAAAAATGAAGGCTACTGGTATTTCTATCTATAAAGGAGTTTTAAAAACTCTCTAAAGCCAGGTGTGCGTGGCCAAGAGACGCTCCTGAGCCTGTGAGAGCCCCCACGCTGGTGTGTTCTGAGTGGGACAGTTTATTGCTGGTGTCAGATGTTCTGACACATGAGAGACATTACGATGTCAAGAAGAGGAGCACGTTGTACCTCACACTGTTCATGATTCCTAGAAAACTATCTTTCCTTCTGAGGGCTGATACCAAATTCTAGAGCTTATTTTAATTTTTGCTTTGCTGGTTAAAATAGAAAATGTCTGCTCTTCTGAGCCCCAACAAAACGCCTTCTGTTGTCCTACTTAAACATCTTTTCTCAGCTGAGGGTGGTCAGCTTTGCCCTTACTCATCCGTAGCTGCGCACTTCCAGATGGGCAAGTTTCCAGCAAGACCTCCAGAGAGGTGCAGTGGAATTCTGAGATTGTTTCAAAGCACATTCTTAATCTCTGGTGATTACTAATAAAGCCTTAGGGGAAAAAACAAAACAAAACAGAGTCGTGTATGATACCATTGGACGGAAGGGGAAAATAAAACCTGAAATGGCATCAACACTAGTCTTCAGGACGCAGTAACACCCCTACATTAGTCCAGTGTAGCAGGGCAATGAGGTACAGGTCTCACTCACTGGTTATTGAATTACAGGCTGGCTCATGAGGTATCACAAATAAATTTGCTCCCCCAAAAGAGGCAGAAATAAAAAGAGGGCTGACTGTATTTCTAAGTTCAGGTTTGAGTGACCGTGCTTTTCCTCCTCCTCCCCTCTGCTTTTAATTTGTCTGCCTGCTTCGCGAGGGGCTATTACAATGGCAGCAATGACAAATGCGCGTCATCTTGTAAACAAAACTATGGAAATTTCATACACAACATGCGGAGTGATGCAACGGAGCAGAGGCACGTGCAATATCACAGTTTAAATGGCAGGACCCTGCAGACATGTTTGGGTTTTTGGTTGTTTTTCTGTTTTTGTTTTTTTTTTTTTTTTGTTTTGTTTTTTTGTTTTTTTTTTTTTTTCCATAGCAGATGCACTAAATCAAAATGTTCACAGAAAAGCTGTCTCGGTATCAAGAGGTTTCTTCCATGTCAGTCTTAACATACCTGCAGCATCTACAAAGCCCAACAGAGCAAAGGACGGAAGGAAAAATGGCAAGAGCTGTGTTCTACTTTTTTTCATTGTAAAACACAAGTAAGAGGGTTAGTAATGCAGAGAAAAAACTTTTTTCTTTTGGAAACAGGTGCCAAAATCTGACTAAAAGTGTTTCTTTTTCCTCTGTACTGTTTTTTCTGATTGTTTTTACAGCAGAACAAAAGCTTATCTGGAAGTTTCTTAATGCCTTTCCAGCAGTCTATACCAAGAGCTCCTGCACAATGGTATGCAAAGTAGTACACAGCCCAGCACAGAGCTGCCATCAACACCCATCAGGATCACAGCCAGCAAAGTTCATGAACCCTGGTGCCTATTGCTGCAGGGGGTTTTCGTTTGGGGCAGCTTTTTTTTTTTCCCTCCACCAGCAGAACCACCTTTCCCCACACCACCTTTTATGCTAGGCAAGCAAGCCCCATAAAACAGGGGAAATATATATATATATATATATATATATGAAGACAAGAGTCATCTCTGCTCTTCCCTCAACTTCTGCATCCACTGTAACTCAGAGGAAGGAAAAAACCCGAAAGACTTTTGTTTTCCTACTCCTGATTTCCTTCTCTTCCTTCCGCTGCAGCAACTGACACTGTGATGACAGCAAGGATTCACATTCATGATCTGAAAGGCAGCTTAAAGAAGTCAAGAACATGCAAATGTGCCCTCCACTGAAAAAAAGAAGTGAAGTCATTTTAACACATTCCTGCTGAATGGCCCTCTTCCCTGGCAGTGCTTCACAGCAAACCCAACTACCAAGTGGTGCCCTTCAGCTTTCCCACACCACCATGGGAAAGTACACATCATCCCTAAAGCTCGTCTTCCTTATTTACCCAAGTCCAACACAGGCAAACACAGGTTACAAAAATCAGGTCTTCGTCTTATTTTATGAATAAATCCGACCTTCTGTCTCTGCAAGAATACTGTCGGTTTCATCTTCACAGTAATGTACTTAAAGGATCTTCGGAGAAATGGAACCAGCCAGGAAAAGTAAGGCCCTCTCTCAATATTACAATCACTGAGAAACACTGCAGGACAATGCCTTTGCTATTTAAAGGCTTTTATCCCCAAAAAACAAACCTCTTCTAGAAGAAGGTGAAAAGCCAAATGGCTTGCTTCTGTTAAGGTTCATGTGAATGGGGGCAAGATCAAGTAAAATAAAGGCAGTGCAAAAGTAGACAGAAGAAACTCCCCAAAAGAGAAAGTTTGATCTGACCTCCCTCCCATCCCTGCCCTGTCAAAACTAAGCACAGTACTTGGCGTTGAGCAAGCCAACCCTGGAAACAGTTAACCAGCTTTCCTGTTCTTTTCTGTACTACAAAACTGTACAACAAATGGACTTCACACCTAAGCAATGGAGCCTACTTCTTTCATGCAGACTAATAGGAAAAAATTCCATCTTTGCCACACCAAGCTCCAGGCCTAAACTGTTTCCATGATGGCGATGCACCATGCTGAAGACACAGGTATTTCATTCTCCTGCAATGCCTTACAGAGTTTCACGGACTCCAATAAACTAGCACAGACTACAGCTACTGGCTGCCCTAGCACTTCATAGTAACACCGATTTCAGTGCTGTGCAAGTGTGACATAAATAAAATCCCTGTGGCAAACTCCCTCCCTCCCAAAGTAATTTTCTTATGAAAGAACAGGAATTACAACTGGCCACTGGGCAATTAAATATCATACCAGAAAAAGAAAGAGGGTTGTTGGAAAAAAAATCAAAGATAATATTGCAACATGAAGGAAGGAATATATTAAATTCTTCTTGCCTCAGAGGATGTATTCCCCTCTATTCCTTACTTCTTTTTCTTTCTTTCCTGAACACAACGAGGACAAAACCTACAGGGAAAGAGAGGCAGTAATTAGTTCCTGAAGTTAACAACACATAGCCCAAGAACTCTTTTTATTATGAGTGAGTGGGAGGGTGGTTTAAAAGCAGTCAGTTTAAGTAACTGCAAGCATTTCCATCACATGCAGGAATCCTGGGCAAAGAGGAAAGGAACTGTAACAACTTGGGTGGGCAGAAGTGACAGATAGCACCAAAAGGCTTCCAGTGCTCATCGTCAGCCCCTCACAGCTGTTATCCACCTTATTCTATTCACCTAGAAGTTACTCTGAGTAATGTCTTGGTGAATAAAATAAGGTGAAGTTACTCTGAGTAACTTCTCCACGTTTGTCACATGAGCTTCCTCTACAGGCCAAAGAAAAAAGGTACTTCCTCTACAGGCCAAAGAAAAAAGGTACTTCCTCTACAGGCCAAAGAAAAAAGGTACGTTCCTCCAATTCATTCCTTTCTCTCCCTCCAAGGACTGCAGTTCACTTTCACTTAAGCCTGTTGCTGATAAGCATCTTGTTAATTAGATGAGAGCAGCCCATTAAACAGAACAAGCCTCTGATTCTTTCCAAGAGGAAGACATATATAAGCAAAACCTAGTCTTCAAACTTTGCTCCCAGAAGTGAAAAAAAAAATAAATACGTCTCTTCTCAATTTTAACCAGCCACAACCACTCAACAGTACAGCAAACCTGAGCTGCAACATGTATACATTTCACGCAAGCCTCGGATCAAATGCAATTATCATGCAGTTTTGCACATGCCCAGGTCCTTGTTTTGCTCCCACCAGAATTTAAGAGTTCTGTGGAAGCAGACTTTAGGAAGAAGGTTCCTCTTGTACCTTCCACCTTCACGCAATCCTAAACCAGAGAGGACGCAAACCCTCTGCTGACAAGAGCAAAACTCGCCTATCAGAAAGGGTCACAATGGAGTTTTAACTTATTGTGATTGTTTTTGAGGCAGATTGCAGCCTGATAAAAATCAAAATGCTGTATGTTGTCATCCTTACCATTTCCCTTTCGGTTTGGTGGTGAGGTCCACACAAGCAAAGTGGAACCATTCAATTGGGCACTGCAAAAGAGAAAGGAAAAACCCAAAGAGATGCTTTGTGTCTCAAATGTTACTTTCATTTTGTATGATCTAATTGAGCAAGTCCCCCTCCCTCAGATTTCAGTGTTGTGATGTAGCAAGCATATGAAAATAATCTCTAGTGCTCACATCTGGGTTGTCACAGCCAATCATTTCTCCATAGGACACCTGGTGACACAAGCAGTAGGTGGGTTCGTTGGGGTCCACTGGCATGTCTAGGACATCTGAGGGATGCACTGACAGGATGGTATCAGCAAACTCAGATCTGTGGGCAAGGACAAATTGAAGACAAAACACTTTTCAGCTGCAGGCAACATGTTTCCAAGATCTAAATCCCCCTAAAGATTAGTTTCTAGCAGCATCTCCCTTAAGACACACTGACCCTGCTATAGAGTTTAGATTACATTATCACATATTATCCAGCAATTAAAATCAAACACAAAACACGAGCTTCACTACAAGGGATTAAGAGAACAATTTGTAGATGCCATGACTACAGGAACAAAATTAATGCACAGATCACTTCTGCCTGTGGACAGAAGAATTTGATTTTTCCCCCCCCCCAGTCTGTTTTAATATACATTCTTTTCTTGTTGTCAGGTATGAGTGAACCCTCTTGCTCTGACAGGAATGTATTAAGTTGACATGTCAGTCATGGTCAATGGAAACTATTTTTAGTTTTCTGCTCCTCCATTTAGCCAACTGAAAATATCAGAATTACCAGAGCTCCTTTAGCATGAGTCACAGCCCAGGGAGCAGACCTGCTTTCTTCCTTGCTTCACAAAACTGTATTGGATTATTCAAGACTACCTAGGACATGATTCTTTGAAAACAACCCCTAAAATTGACCAGGATTTCTACAACAATACACATCAGCTTTAGTGCTGATGGGCAAGTGTTTCTTTTTAAAATCAAGACCACAAGCAACTGTTAAAAATAGCCGCATGACAAAAATCAAAGCTGTTTTCTCCCAGCTTGTCAACAGCAACAGAGACGTTGATCTTGTCCTTCCAGTCGGAGGGCATTCCAAGCATGCTGAGTTTCCACGTGCCATCCAAGCAGTTAATTAACAAAGCCGACTTGTCCTAAGCAGGACACTCATGAAATGGACTAAGACCAGAACACTCCAACACCGCTCACTATCCAGACACGAGTCATAAATAGGGTAACATGAGCTTGCAGAAAATTCAGGAGGTGTCAAGCCAAAGTCACCAGAGCTGGACTGGGTATGCCTTACCCTCCTTTGAGTTTCTTTTTCTTTGGTGTATCTTCTTCAGATGTTCGCCTGCCTCGACCGCGAGAGCCTCTTTTGTCTTTCTGACTCCGTCCCTCTATTATAAAGGAAAAACCCCACAGTTTCAACCTATGTGAATACCAGAAACATCTCCAGATGTTTTTCTTTTCATGCATTTACTGCTTTGAAATCCCTACTTCATATGTAACTGAACACGAATGCTGATCCTGAAATATGTGCCAAATTGGCAAGCAGTACAACTGGCCACCAAACTCTAGAGTTCACAGTATTGGCAATTAAATCACCACAATGCCATGTTAGCCCGTATCGTTGCACAAGATGTAAACAGCATCATATTTGATTAGACATGCTGTAATCATTTTTTTAAAAAAATATTAGTATATTTTTAACCACTCAGCCCATCTATTGGTTACTCAATAATATAACTTTTTATCTCCACATCCCTGATATTACCCCTTATTTCATAGTTCAAAGGCATAGAGACGTACTGCTGTTAACCATACTCAAATTTCACTGTAATCATACAAGATTTCCAGTACACACTACAGAAACTGGTACCTTCCTTCATCTCCTAATTTTTCCTGCTGTTCTCAGCTTGATTAGTACTCAGATTCTGGTAAATGGAGGAAAACAGGCAAATCTCCTCAAAAAAGAGCTTAGAACTTACTCGATAACAGCTCGAGCCTGAAACTAAGACTGTTACATTCCAGAGCTGTAAGAATACCAGTTCAGCTTTGTCACAGTTAGTTCCCCCTTGGCCAGTAGCCTCCTTACAACCAGTAACCATGGGTCACCTCAGGATGAGCTGGCAAGCAGAGACAGTAAGTTAGATCCCACTATTAGATTGTTCTTCATCTGTCACTGCCCACCAGAACACTGTAAATATTTGAAGAGCATTAAAAACATTCTTCCTCCAGAATAGCCTACTTCACACCTTAGCCTTTCTGGTTAGACACGCTCAGTGCTGGAAAAGGCTGTCAACTGTATAAAATTTACACACTTCTCAGGCTTCGAGATCCAGGGCTTTCAAAGTCACTGCCTTCCAGTTTGTCCTTCAGATCTGCTTCGAATCGTGCCAAGTCTGCATCCAGCCGGCGGATGTGCTTATCCACCTGCACAGAAGAGGAAACCACAAACTGAAGAAAAAAAAAAAAAAAAAACAAAAAACAAAAATCCCCACATGAAAACAGGAAGGTCTAACAACTTGGCCGTTATTGGCATGAACAGTACACTACTTCAGAGCAAGGCATGAAAGAGGTACCAAACTGGAAAAAGGGAAATGGTACACACAAAGGGAATTATGGTGGAGAGAAAAAGCAAATAGGTGAAAGCAAGAGGACCCAATCCCTCTACAGAGAAAGAAGAAAGGTAGGAAAAGGGAAGTGGCATAAAGGAGAGCCAAAGCCATTCAGACTAACACTTGCAGAACAAAAGATGACGATGAGAGCTATTAAAAATAATTGCTTTCTCCCTGCAATTTTCAAAATACACTATTCAACTATTGTCCATAACATGTGTTGAGTAGATCAGTCTATTTTTTCTGGTATTCCATCAGGACTCTATTCGAAGAAATTTAGTAATAAATGCAGGCTTCTGTTGACTATCTCCGCTATCAAGTCAATACATTTTAAGCACGTTCCTTGTACTACCCAGGTTGCAATAATGTGGCTTACAGAACAGAGACATAGCAAAGGCATTTTAAGCTGTCCCCTGCCAAACTGTGCTGCTGCAATACCTCAAATTAGTTATCTAGGGCACTTTTCAATTCCTGGGAAGTGATTTCCTTTTCTGCAGTGTTTGATGGCAATAAAACGTACTCCAGCTGCAGATGCAGCAGAACCCAAAGCATCTCTAGAAGGTGGACAAAACACACCAAGTACAGTCAAAAGGATTCCCCTCGTTCAAGTTTCATCTAGGGGATAAAATACACAGAGATAAAAAGTATTCAGGGGACAGCTAAACGGACACAGGAGTAGGGGCAGAAGAAGAAAAAAGTGGAAAGCTCTATCTTATGAAATGAGATTTTCCCACCAGGTCCATCAAGGAAAGTTTGGTGTCCAATATACAACCAAAATGGTGGAGCTGATGGGTCTGCTTTCTTTTGTCACTTGGAAACCAAGGTAATTGAGCAGATTTCCTTCCATTCCTCCACAACATAGTACTGAAGTTGACTTCAAAAATGTTTCTTACACCTAAGACCAGCCCTAAATAAATTATCTGGTGACAGGGGAGCTGCTGGGGAGAAGGGAGTGGGGCAAATTTGCTGCTATTATTACACAGCATATGGGTACTACCAATCAAGCAGTCTCCAAGTGGGATAAACCCATTTAACTCTTCACCAGAAGAGCAGCCTACCTGACACAAGACCTAGCAGCGCAAGAGGATACTTTTTGGCGATGGCAACAGTAAGAAAAAGAAGCTTGAGAGCTAATCATTTGTTTCAGTGAGATATTTAAGCAAAACCATAAATGTCAGGGAAAACAAACACTGTGGAAGTGTCTTCCACATCCACCAGCAGCTCCACTCCAGACTATGACCATTTTTACAAAAGTCTCACTGGTTGTGATCCTCACCATCTCGTACGTCTGCATGGCCAGCTGGACTTTATCATCACTGTACTCTTTACATTTGCTGTAGGCACTCTGGATTTTCTTCAGGTGTTCCACTCGCTCCTCAGGTAACATGTTCTTCACTGACTCAATGTATTCTGCCGCAAGACTGTCAATTTCTGCTTTCTTATCTGAAAAGCAAAGTATATACACTTGAGAAATCTATCTGCCAAACCAAGTGTTTTTTAAATCTACCTCTTCATGGTATTTAAAAGACAGCTCCTGACAGCTTTTGGTCTTCCCCCAATTCCTTAGTGTATTTACCTTTTCTTAAAAAAAAAAGTGAAGTTAAAGAGATTCATTCTTCAACACTTGTGGTGTGATTCTGATTTCTGGAGTGTTTGATAGTTAATTCAGAGGAGGGGTTCACAGTTAAGACGAGAGACTGAACCCAGGGGTTCGCAAACCTCAACCGCCCTTCCCACATGCAGAACGTTTTATTTGCTGCTCAGCCATTCCCCGCTCTAACGGTTCAAATTGAAAATCATTGCTGGACAACCAGGTTACAAGAGAAACCTCAAGAAAGAAACGGTCTCACGAGACACGCAGCAATCTACAAGTCAGTGGATGGGGAAATAGGTGGAAGTAAGGCCGTCCAGGTGCAGCTGTCATACAGCTACAAACTGACATGCTACTGGCGGGAAAAAAAAAAAAAAAAAAAAAAAAAAAAATCGAATCCTGTAAAGCATTTTCCACAGGGTGGGAATCCTTGGGGCCGAGGCTCGTCTGTCACGCTGTGCTCCCCGGAACACCCGAACGCACCTTCTGTCCTCTGGTCCAGCTCCCGCATCAGCTGGAAGTTCCGCTGCAGCTCGCACGGCAGGTTCTCGATACCTGCAACGGGAAAGGCCACGCAGCGCTGCTGTCCGCTCCGCGGGCAGCGAACCGGCGCTTCGCCCACGGACACGCGTGGGGAGATGCTGGGTGCGGGGTGGGACACGACCCCGCTCTCCGGCGCGCGGCGATGACGCGCGGATGACGCGCCGCGGTCCCGCCCCCCCCCCCCCCGCCCAGCCCGTGGCGCAGTTCTAATTCCCGCGCTGCCGCCACCGCCCCGCGCTCCCCTCCCCACATTCCCCCGCCCCCCCGCCCCCCCCCCCCCCCGTTCCCCCGGCCCCGCCGCAGCCGCGCCCCCCCGCGCTCACTGTCCAGGTAGTGCTCCAGGTACATGGCGGTCGCCATCTTGCGCCCCGCCGCCGCCGCTTCCCGCCGCCTGCCGGGCCCGCATGACGAGGGCCGTGGCCCCGGCCTCATCCCATATTCATAACCCTCTGGGCGCCCATTGGTCGCCAGAGACGCTTCTGCTGCATATTCATGAGGGGCGGGACGGGCGGGGGGGGGGGCGGTGCCGCGTTTCCCGCCCGCCGGGAGGACCACGCCGTCTCTGTGACCTTTCCGGCGCCTAGAGCGGCCCGGCGGCGCCGGCCGGGATTGGCTGGGGCTGGTCGGGCGGGAGCGCGCGCCATGGCGGGCAGGCGAGGGGCGCTGATCGTGCTGGAGGGGGTGGACCGGGCCGGGAAGAGCACGCAGGGCCGCCGGCTGGTGGAAGCGCTCCGGGATGACGGGCACCGCGCCGACCTCCTCCGCTTTCCGGGTAACGGGGCCTGCCGGCGGCCCGGAGAGAGCGGGGGGGGGGGGGGGGGGAGGAGGGAGTACCGCTAGACCGGGCCGCGGCGCCCCGGTGTAACCCCCGGGAGGGGGGGTGTGTGTGGGGGTATCCGAGGGCTCCCCTGGGACACCCGCCCCCTGACCCCAACCCCTGACAGACGGATGGACCCCCGTCCCCAGAGGGACCGACCTCTTCCCACCCGTGACAGACGGACAGACATCCCCATCCCGGACGGCCTGGCCTCCTCCCACCCGTGACAGACAGACAGACACGCCCATCATCCCGGACGGATTGACCGCCTCCCACCCGTGAGAGACAGACCTACCTCCTCCCACCCATGACAGACAGATAAACCCTGGCCCTGGACAGACTGACCCTCACCCTCAGACATACTGACCTCATCCCAGCCCCGGACAGACCAACCTCTCACCCATGTCAGACAGACTGACCCCCAGACTGACATGCCCCCCTGGACAGACAGATACCCCTTTGGCATGAACAGCTTGAGGCAGCGTTTGCTTCTTCACCCCTTCTTTCCTACAGAGAGAACAACAGAGATTGGGCAGCTGATCAGCTCCTACCTGCTGAAGGAGAAGAACCTGGAGGACCACACCATTCACCTGCTCTTCTCCGCTAACCGCTGGGAACACGTGTAAAGATAATGTTTGTTAAGTTGTAAAAGAAAAAGGTGTGGCGTTGAGTCCTCCTGGGGTTTTAGCTTGCAGTGGGTGAGAGTAGGTACGAGAGTATGAGCCTGTTTAGCAAGGAAAACATGGCTGGAAGCAATATCTCAGGGACTCTTACAGCTTTGGATTTAATCTTAGCTCAAATCCCACAGTTTGGGTTTTTTAAATCATAGGTGTGATATTTCCAATCCCTGTGCTGTACTGGATTCACAAACCGGGGAGCTGAGACTGTGCCAGCCTAGACTGTGAATTTACTTTCTTTCCTGAATGAAGAGACCTTGCTTTGCAAGGAAGTCTGTGTGAGTGACAGCGTGGTTGAAGATTTGTGTCCAAACTTCCCTTCTAGCCAAAGGCTGCAATCAGCCGTAAGTGGCTCTCCTTGCTTTTGGCCCCTGAGTCTTTGCGTGTGGAGCTAGGGAAACTGGCGTCGACTGTTGGTTTTGCAAATTGTTTCCATTTTAATAAAAAAGCTTTGCTGATTCTGCCTGTAGTGGTGGTGCCCAGCAAACTCAGAAAGCACGAGGCAGATGAGTGAGCTGTAATAAGAAATGTCACTGTCGTAAATAAAGGACACTTTTCTCTGACTGAGGTAGAATGTATCACAAATCTCCTGCACCACTTAAAAAGGGAAGAGGACTAAGCTGTTCATGTCTGAATATAGTTCATCTGTGATCTTGCCTGTAAGCCATAGAGCTGCCTAGAGCAATGCTCGGCCCTGGGGCGCCCTGAACTTGGGTGTCTTGGAAGGATATTTGCTTAACATCTCTTAGAGGACAGAATACAAATAGCTATTTATCAGCAATCAGCATCACAGATAACCCTGACACTGCTAATGATCACTGTTAATGATGATGTATGTTAACACAGAAGCACTGGCCTCATGAGCCATCTGTTAGATGAACTCCTTTCATGCGTATTGCTATAAAGGAGTGTAATTTCTTTTTTTTTTTTTTTTCTTCCACATGGTTTTCAGACCACTGATGAAAGAGAAACTACATCAAGGGATCACACTTGTGGTTGACAGATACGCCTTTTCTGGAGTGGCCTTCACAAGTGCCAAAGAGGTGAGTGAGAACTACAGCAGCCCCTGCCCCTCGCTATATTTGGAAAAGCAGCTCCAGTTAGAGGCCTGATGTAGACGTTGGTGTGCATGGCCCAGACTCCTGCTCTGGGGAGATGAGGATTGGAATTGAGGGATGGAAGTTCCCAGTCAGGTACTGCCACAGTCTGTTTGCCCAGGTCTACCCCTTCCCCAGAAAGAGCAGAGAAACTCATTTGGTTACTTTTTGTAAATCTGGACAGACTCATGGCTGTGGGGAAGCCAGCCTGTTTGACTCAGGAATGATTATGTGAGTTTATCTGAGATTCTCCACACTTGCTCTGGCTGCTCGCCCATAAATTTGCAAAGAATAACAGAACCACGTGTGTTGGAAGGGACCTGTGGAAGTCACGAAGACCAACCTCCTGCTCAAGAGTAGGTCTGGTGTCAAGCAGGCTGCTTGGGGCCACATCCAGCCAAGGTTTGAGTATCTCCAGGGATGTAGATTCAAAACCTTTCTGGACTGTTCTTTCAGTGCTGGCTCACCTTTATAGGAAAAATCATTTGATTCATTTAGCCTGAATTTCTTGCATTCCTACTTGCGCCTTTTGGCTTGTTTCTGTCTGCTTTGGAGGCAAGCCAGCTCTGTCAGCCTGCCTTTTGGCCATTCTACACAGCTATAAGATCCTCCTGAGTCTTGTGCTCATTCTTGTGCTCTGAGAAAGCTGTCTTGGAAGATCAAACAACTCTCCTGAGCCTCTTTGCCTTCCACATGAGTTTCACAGGGCATCCTGCTAAGAGGTCCCCAATAAACAGATCTGCTCTCCTGAAGTCCATGCTGGCGATTCTGTTTGTCTTGTTGACTCCTCTCCAGATTTTAAACCACCGTCTCGTGTTCCCTGTGACCTTCACATCTTTGACCATTTCCTTCTTGCTTGGTAGTAACAAATCCACCAGGGAACCTCCCCTCACTGGCTTATCAATCACCATGTCAAGAATTTCTTCAGCACACTCCAGAAACATGGCTTGCTTGTGCCCAGCAGAGAGGGAGGTGGTTGAGATCCTCCACGAGTACCAGCACCTGCAGTTGTGATCTTTCTTCCAGCTGTCTAGAGAATGTTCATCAACTTCCTCTCTAACCAGGCAGTCTGTAGCAGGCCGTACCCCAACATTGCCTGTGTTACTCTGCCCCAGTTTTGCTGCTTTCAGGTAAGCCTCCATTACCATGTCATCCCCCTGACGTTTCCTCCTGGCCTCCCACCTTCAGCTCTCTACAGATTGCAAACCTTCCCCTGACATATCTAGTTTAAAGCTCTCTTCACAGGCTTAGCAAGCCTGTTTGCATAGACACTCTTGTCCCACTTTAGCAGATGCATCCCATTCCTGCTCAGTCCTCAGAGTGGCCTGTGGCCACAGAAGCTGAAGCCCTGCCTCCCAACACCAGCCACGCAGCTGAGTTGACCTACATTTGTTCCTACTCGATCCTTTCTCTGCTTCCTGGGAGGACTGAGTTGATCCTGGGCCCCCATGCCCTGCACCCTCACCTCCAGAGCTCTGCAGTCTTGCTACATTTAAGATCACCCTGGTAGTACCGCTGGCGCCCGTGTGGATGAGCGGTAAGTGGACAAGCCTCAGTGGTCTTCACAACATCACTGGATTCACGTGCCCTGATGGAGGCCTTCAAATCTGTCAACAAGATTAGAAAGTTGGAAAGCTTCGTCTCTTGTGCCTGGGCTGAAATTCCTGGGTAGAGTGGGTATTTAAAAAGGAGTCTCTGTGGGCTCAGAAATGTCCACACGAAAGCTGCGTGGTGTTTCGGACTGGTAACAGCTGTATGGGGACTCAAAATATGACTTGGTATTTAGCTTTGATGGGCTCTGCAGAAGAGACGTTAAAATTTTTAGCTTTGTCCAACTTAAATGAGTGTGAGGGGTGCACAGCACCTAGTAAAACCTGGTCCCCCAAAATTACCAGGACTGAATTCCCACATGATAAGCTGGATTATTGCCTTTTCACTTTGTAACCTGTGCTTAGTGTTTAAGGCTGCATTTCTTTTCTCTGGTTGTTCCTTACCTACCTGCCTCTCCAGCTAACCTGCTTTCCCTTCTTCACATTGCTTTCTTTCACCTCAAACTTGGTTGTCTTTGTTTGGGACAGAACTTCTGCCTGGACTGGTGCAAACAGCCTGATGTTGGACTCCCGAAGCCTGATCTGGTCCTGTTTCTTCAGTTAAGCCTGGAAGAAGCAGCAGAACGAGGGAACTTTGGTAATGAACGTTATGAGAACAGCTCCTTCCAAGAGAAAGTTCTGCAGTCCTTCTATCACCTGATGAAGGACAAGACATTAAACTGGAAGGTGAGGAAATAACCCTAATGGGCTTGTCACAGACCAGGGTGGGGATCTCGCATGAGAACTCCCGAACTGTGCCCATGGCATCCCTGTGCTCCCCCTTCCAGCTCCTGGTCAGGGGGACACTTGGGGACCAGCCAGGGCCATGCCGCTCTGTGGCAGAGAGGGCACTTCCCTGTTCAGGACACCCTATGGGGCCTTGCTGGGGTAAGGGGGACACTTTTGTTTGGTTGATTTGTTTTCCAAAAGAGCTTTCTGGAAATCATTCCCTTTCTTAAAAGACAAACTGACAAACCTAGGTAGAAAGCAGCGGGACACACCCATGCTCTTCCCTGCCTGTTTCCTTGGCATCCTGCAGCATCTGCCAAGGGTTCTGGAATCCCTCCTGCAGCTTATAGACACCTTCCTTCTCACATGGCCAGTTTCCATCAGCATTTGCTGTCTTAATGTGTTTGGAGAGGCTTGGGGTAGCATTATCTTTTTTGTTCCATGCTGCTGCATTGCTTCTTCTTGTTCATCCCTTGGATCTGTTTGCAGAAGAGCGCACAGTCAGCAGCAGCCTTATCCCAGAAGAGGAAGCATTCCTCATCTA